ACTGCAACTGAAACGAAGCGAAGTAAGGTTGAAATATTCAAAGAACAGAGCAATTACATAAGATACCCTCTTAACGAGGAGATTTTGACAGATGCCCCGAATATAAATGAGGCTGCTACACAACTCATCAAGTTCCATGGGAGCTATCAACAATACAACCGAGATGAACGTGGTGGAAGGTCCTACTCATTTATGCTTCGTACAAAGAACCCTTGTGGAAAAGTGTCAAACCAACTATACTTGACCATGGATGATCTTGCCGATCAGTTTGGAATTGGTACCCTTCGTTTGACCACCAGACAAACGTTTCAGCTCCATGGTGTTCTGAAAAAGGACCTTAAGACTGTAATGCGTAGCATCATTAATAGCATGAGTTCAACCCTTGGCGCCTGTGGTGATCTTAACAGAAATGTTCTTGCTCCTCCTGCTCCAATACAAAGAAAAGATTACCTTTTCGCACAGCAGACTGCAGAGAACATTGCAGCACTGCTGACTCCTCAGTCTGGTTTTTACTATGACGTATGGGTGGATGGTGAGAAGTTCTTGACAGCAGAACCTCCTGAAGTAACTAAGGCCCGCAATGATAATTCTCATGGAACAAACTTCACTGATTCACCCGAGCCTATTTATGGAACTCAGTTCTTACCCAGGAAGTTTAAGATTGCAGTTACAGTGCCAACAGACAACTCAGTGGATATTCTCACAAATGATATCGGTGTTGTGGTTGTTACTAATGATGAGGGGGAGCCTCAAGGGTTCAACCTATATGTAAGATGAAGTTCTTCTCTAACATTTAAATTTGAGCTCATTTTCTCCACAAATATGGTTTCTTATAATTTGCATTGCAGGTTGGTGGTGGTATGGGAAGAACGCATAGGTTGGAAACCACTTTTCCCCGTTTGGCTGAACCACTGGGTTATGTCCCCAAAGAGGATATCCTATATGCAATTAAGGCTATAGTTGTTACACAAAGAGAAAATGGGAGAAGAGATGATCGAAAGTACAGTAGAATGAAATATTTGATCAGCTCGTGGGGCATTGAAAAATTCAGAAGTGTAGTTGAACAATATTATGGAAAGAAATTTGAGCAATTCCGCGAGTTGCCAGAATGGGAATTCAAAAGTCACTTGGGGTGGAACAAGCAGGTTTGTTGTGGTGATTTTGACATACAATTTTTGATGTTTTTTATTCTGTCTCCAAGGTTTGAAATTGCAATATCTTCAAGAGTCTTATGTATGGCCTATTTGATTTATAACTCTAGTAGATCATACCGTTTACACTGATGCCTAGTTTATTGGCTCCATTCCATCTTCCAGTTCCTTTCTCCCCAGATGAATGTCCTGACTATTTATATGTGTTTTGGTAGGGTGATGGCAGTTATTATTGTGGGCTTCATGTTGATAATGGTCGTATTGGTGGAGTTATGAAGAAGGCATTGAGAGAGGTTATAGAAAAGTATAATTTGAGCATAAGGCTCACACCAAACCAGAACATCATATTGTGTGATATTCGCACAGCATGGAAACGTCCCATCACCACAATTCTTGCAAAGGCCGGTCTGCTGGTAAGATGTTTTTCTTTTACTCCCTCATCATCAGACATCAATATGAACTTGTGGTTACTGGATGCTTACTTCCTATTCTGTGAAATATCTTTCACTGCCAAGTGAAACTTTTCAACTTAGTAGGACGGAGTATCTTATTCAACTGAGATGCTGTCTGTCTGGAAATGGTGCTATGATTTATCTGCATTAGATGGTGATGTTTCTACTGCTTTTTGCAGTAATCTAGTGTGAAATCTAGGCTGCAAATTATTTTCTCATAGGATCTAGTGGGGGAAATCATGTAGGCTTCACATGATCTCAAGGGATATCCTCCTTTTTGTCAGTTTGAATCTTTTAAACTCAGATAGTGGTCAGGACTTGTGCCAACAATTATTGGTTAACTTATTTGGTCTTAAATTTCTTGAACTGTTTGGGTTGTGTCTATGATAAAAACGTTTTTTAGGTTATGAATTTTCATCATTGGGGATATTACTGACCAGTTCCGATTGTGGCAGCATCCTAGGTTCGTAGACCCCCTCAACCTGACTGCGATGGCATGCCCAGCCTTCCCACTATGCCCACTGGCAATAACTGAAGCTGAACGGGGTATACCTGACATTCTTAAGCGGGTTCGAGCATTATTTGAGAAGGTATTACCATAATAACAAGCATGTTTCACGAAACACTAACTAATAAAATGTGGAAAATCAAGATCATGTGTGGATAAGGAATCAGAATGCATGTAACAAGTATAACTTTTGAATTTCAGGTTGGTCTGAAATACAATGAATCTGTAGTTATAAGGGTGACTGGCTGCGCTAATGGATGTGCTAGGCCATACATGGCTGAACTTGGACTAGTTGGTGATGGTCCCAATAGCTATCAGGTATTTCAAATGCTGGTTCATGTGCAATTTTTCTCATGCTCAAATGCAGATTGTCGTGAAAGCAACTCATATTTTATTCGTTTTTTTGCTTGTGTTAAAATAGATCTGGCTTGGAGGAACACCCAATCAAACCTCAATAGCAAGAAGTTTCATGAACAAGGTCAAGATTCAAGACCTGGAAAAAGTTTTGGAACCTTTATTTTATTATTGGAGACGTAAACGACAATCTAAAGAGTCCTTCGGAGGCTACACAAACCGGATGGTAAGGGGTGAAATAAGATTCTAAGATTATTGTGTTATATTTAGGCCTGTCCCAGATAAAGAAGTTGGTTTAATCTCAAATTTGGGGAGTTTACATGGGTATGTTAAGAAATTTTATCGGTCATTGGAATGGCTGATAGCTGTGGTTGTGACCCTAATTGGTATATTGTATCAGGGATTTGAGAAACTTCAGGAGTTGGTTGACAAATGGGAAGGTCCAGAGGTGGCACCAGCTCGTTACAACTTGAAGCTTTTTGCTGATAAGAAGACGTATGAAGCGGTGGATGAACTTGCAAAGCAGCAGGATAAGACTGCTCATCAGTTAGCCATGGAAGTTATTCGCAATTTTGTTGGTTCCCAGCAAAATGGGAAAAGCGAGTGAGTGTGCAAAGGTGAATCAACTTATGAACTTGCAGTATTGCCCCCTGGCAAAGTGGCCAAGGTGAATGAGGAAACAATGTCCCTGATTCTCTCTCCAAGCTGTTACTTTTCGGTAACCGAAGGAACAAATAGGATACTGGATTTGGTATTATTCTGTATCAAGGTTTTGCGTCATTTGATTTTTCTTGAATCCCGAGTTTGTATAATTAGTTTGGATTGTGTATCCTATTTGCGGCAAAAGTACTGTTCCTTAATTATTATATTTTCTTAATAAAATTGTAGTTTTTGGGTATTTAGATTATCATGAGAGGATCATATATTAGGAGGCGTTCTAGGTTCCGGATGAACGTGCTTTTTGTGGCAGCTTTCGCGCGCTCTATGTTTCCTAACTTCCTGGATTTGATTTTATGGTACTTGAATCCATAGCCTCCAACCTTGCACAATTCTGACATCGTATGATGTACATCATATGAGGAAGAACAGAAAGAATATAATTTCATAGTCATAAACAGTCAGAGTATTGAAACTGTTGTAAATTGCAATTACTCTAATCAATCCTCATTAATTCTTAATTTAAGTCGGACCCTCTCGTCTGGTCTCATTCCCCTGAGACACACGAGACTTCACTCTCAGCAAAGCGTCTACAGTTAGCCAACTCAAAATCTCAGCGATCATCTCGAAAGGAAGCTTTGGTCCTTCTGTTACACGTCCAATCTTCTCCTTTGATTTTTTTCTTTGATATCCGGGCGCCGTGTTCATGTTGTGTGTATAACACAAATTTCATCAACATTGATTGATTGATACATAAAAGTTAAGCTGTTCATCACAGTTATATGATTGTTCTTAACCAGAGTGTTACATGATAATTCCATTACCGATCACATTAACATCATGTAGCTAGGAGTGCACCGAAGAATTTCTCTTGCTCTTAAAACGGATAATCTAATAACAAGACCTGCTACAATCACAATTCACTAGTCTCAAACCAAATCATCAACCAAACAGAATTTGAAACATAAGAAGATATCTGCATTATATTCCAACAGAAATTTATTTCAGTATATATGGAGATCATCATGCTGATTTGGTAATCGCACTAAAACTTACGTAGTACAAGTATATGGATTCTCAAAGGAAGAATAATGTTCATATATGTATGCAAATTAATCCTCAAACAAAATTTTAACAAAACATATGTAGCTCAAATTAAGTAAATCTTTTATCGATTTAGGCACTAGAACCTATAATAATCGCAAGGAGAACTTCGGGATTTTAAGGATAATTTTGTAATCTTCATTAATGAATTTATACTTTTGTTTTCCCTCACTTATTGTAACCTTTTCTTCAATATAACTTTCATTAGCATATGTTAATTAAAATGCAATACTTTCTAGAATCATCCTTGGCCCATGTACAATAGGAAGGAGGGATTTGATCACCAACTCAACACATGATGAACTTGTTTGCTGCGATATCCATTACTTGAGAAAATAAAAGCAAAAACAAAAAGACTTGGATAATATAAATCAGTAGCTAGTTGCAATTGCATGGACAAATTAAAAAAAGTTAAATGAATAGTTCTCATTCGAAGATAAAATATAAGATACAATTATTATCTAAAAGGCTTGAAGAAGGAGGCCAGAAGGAATATAAAAATAAAAATAATCTCTATTTGAAAAGAAAAAAAGGCTTGACGAAACCCTAAACAAAATCCAAGAAAAAAGGAAATTAAAATCAGAATACAACCATTAAAGGCCAGTTCGGACTCTTTTATAGGATGCACACTAATGCTTATAAGCGCTTTTTCTAAAAGTGCTTTTATTAGAAGAATGTCAAAAAAAATTATTGTAAGTGTTTTGTAGTCACCTTTCAGAACCTAAACAGATCCTAATTAACAGATTGATCTCTTTCTTCGCTAGAAGAAGCAATCTATGAATTATTATCCTTGGTGCAAGAGTCTTTCCTCTTCATCTCATGATCTATCTTCAAATCCAGTATCTTTATGAAATGTTTTAGGGTAGCTATTTTTTTATCTAGTTCATCCACTCCCGCATGCTCATTCAACCCGTACTTATCTATACCATCTTGCACTGCTTTCTCTTCTTTCTCTTGATTGGCTTCTAAATCTTCATCAATAACAACACCATCATCATCTTCATCATCTTCATCATCATCATCATCATCATCTTCATCATCGTCATCATCGTCGTCATCATCGTCATCTTCATCATCATCATCATCTTCATCATCATCATCATCATCATCATCTTCGTCATCATCATCTTCGTCATCATCGTCATCTTGTTCTCCAAGAAAACGATATATGACAGCGACCGCGGAGGGGTGACCGTATACATAGGGCTTGTTGGCTGGGGAAAAGACGATAACAGCCATCTTAAAACCAGACGAGGAGGAGGAGTCAAGGTCGGTGGCTTCGCCAAACAAACCCTTGCGGCGCTTTGAGATGGTGGCCTCCATCTCCATATCTATCTTCCTGCGTCCCATGAATGGTTTGGTTTTTAGATATGAAACGTACGTGTCTTCTTGATCCGACTAAATCACTGAAAGAAGAGTTGAGTTGTGAGTTGTGAGTTGTTGTGGACTTGTGATCGAATACCCCCAAGGGAAGAACAAGGTATTTATATAGGATGGCCACGGCTAGGTTGCCCATGAATCCAAAGGTTTCCCTTTTTTTCTTTTTCTTTTTTTGGGGTGCCTTCTAAGTCAACAAAATGTAGGATTGTGGAATGTTTTCATTTTATAATTTGTGGATATATAAAATAATTTAAAATAATAATTAAAGCAGGCTTTCTTCTGCACGTGTTTTTGATATAATTGGAAACAATAAAACTTTGTTTCCCTATCAAATTATGGAAAACGGGAAACTATTCTTCTTTCTTTGGAGTGAAATTTAGGCACGTAGGTCAAAGGGATAAGAGAGAGACGAATTGGAGTGAAAATAGCAAGGCTTTCTATACATGTTTTGATGTGATCATCGAACGCAATTGTCTTAGAAGTTTATTTTGTCTTCCTTATTTGAAACTAGGAAAGAATCTACAATGAAGTAAAAAATCGAAATTATCACAACTTACTGGTTTTTTTTTTTTTTTTTGGGTATGGGAATCTTTTGCTCCTGATTGGCTTCTTTCTGTCTTAGATATGGTGTTCCTGTTTTCAATCAATAATCATCTTTATCATTTTGAAAATAAATAAAAGAAAGAAAAAATCGAATGTTTTTTCTCTCTTTTCAAATATATGTTTATAGAGTATTTTTCAACAAGTAATTAAAGAAGGTAACGAAAAAACGCGAGTTCAACCATAAATTTCCTTTAATCAAAGCATGTTTTTCTTTGCAATAATGCTAGAGTTCAACCTTAAATTGACCTACTAATTTCCTTCTTTGGATTTATAAAGATTAAACTTTAGAAATTCTAGGTAGAGAAAAAATAAACTTGGAAAATTTGAGTCCATTTAAATTGAATTTGAGTTGGGTGTTCGTTCTAAAACGCTAAGACATGAAAGTTGTTAACGGTTGAAATTGGAAAGCCCGTGGTATCGCAATTACACATGTAACACGAGAGTTTGAATGATTCACCCATAAATTGGGCTATGTTTTATGGAGTTAGGTCCTCTTGGGCAATAGCACATAAGAAAAACTTAAATCCCATTGGAAATTTTCAAGAATTTATAGAATAAGAAGAGGAAGAAGCCAGATTAATTAATAGATTGTCCCAAGAAAAGATACAAAGAACATACAAGTTCTACAAATTTTACATTACAACCACCATAAGTGACTGAATCAAAGCAAATGATCATAAAACTGATCCCTCATCAGTTGCGGCAGATACGAGCAGTAGGCATCGTGACACAAACAGGAGCATACTTCTCCTTGGCTTCTTTTGTCCCACGCTTAGGCTCATCGGCCATGGAAGCCTTGGCTATGGAGCATGCAGCCGCAGCTGCAGCAGCAAACATCAGATCCCTCCTCCCACTGCTGCTGCTGCTGCTGCTGTTCTTCATTTCCAAGCTGCCCTTCTCTCCTTCTGGGGCACTTGAAGCCTTGGCCACAATGAGACTCCTGCGAGCTGTAGAAGGTTTGGTGATGGTTGAGGCTGAGCCAGTGAGGAAGGAGGCTGCCATGGTCATGGAAGCCATCTCCGCAAATTTGGTTGGTTTATCTTTTTTCTTGCTTTTGTTTTTTGCCTCTCAATCTGACTTGCAGTATGTGACCGAAGTGAATTCTGGCTTGGTTTAAAGTCCTAAGTGAAATGAGAATGTGCTTCTTAGAACAATAGCATCATCCATTTCCTTATCGACAGAAATGTTTTGCCAAATGGGTTGTTGCCACCTGTCTTGCTTTATCCTTCTGAAAACTCCTGGCTCCGGAAGCCTCTTCACTTCAGCTAGACAAACAAAAGCAGACTCGGCCAATTAGCACAGAAATGGACTTACCTGAAGTTAAAATAAATAGAAATTTATAGCAATCCCCATTTCTAGCATTAAGCACTGAACAAGATTTTATAATTATCATTATCATAGTGAGTGAGTTATGTAATGTGTTCTAAAAGTTCTTATTTTGTGATAAATGTGAAAATAATGAATTATCATGGATTTTTTATTTACAAATCTCTCTCTATTTTCAAGTCAAATATGTCTAATTTGTGCAATATTTCACACAATAATATATATATATATATATATATATTGGAATTTTTGTGAAGTACAAGCTATTATGGAACATGAGAACTTCAGTGACGGGGACATAGGGAATGATGCCAATAGGGGTCACGTGCTGGGTATAATTTGTGAAGGATAACCAAGATATATGAAGTAATGATGTGATATGATTTGGATTGTGTATTTTAACCAATTTTTCACTCTTTTTATTTTATTTCATTCAATTCACCCACCATGATTTGGGAATTTTCTTTATTTCCGGATCGGAGTGTGACAATCTTCCTCCTGGTATTCCCTTGACTTCCAAGGAAGGTGTCGTGTGCAAACTGTGAAAATCCTTATATGGTTTGAAGCAGTATCTGAGAAAAAATATAGTTTGGAAGGTTTGGTGCATCTATGAAAAAATTTGACAGCTGTAATTATTTATGTTGATGATATGATAGTAACTTGAGATGATCAGGAAGAAATGCAATGCCTTCAAAAGTATTTGACTTCTAAATTTGAGATGAAATCATTGGGTGAATTAAAGTACTATCTTGCGATTGAGGTTGCTAGATCTAAAAATTGTATTTTTCTGTCCCAAAGAAAGTATGTTTTAGATTTTCTTGCAGAGATTGGTATGTTAGATTATAAACCGATTGATACTCCTAGTGAACAGAATCATAAGTTGGGGTTGTATCGTAATCCTGATAAGAAGTGTTATCATAGGCTTGTAGGGGAATTGATTTATTTGGCTCATACACGTCCTGATATAGCATATGCAATTAATGTGGTAAGTCAACTTATACATTCACCAAGTCTTGATCATATGGGTGTTGTTATGCGTATTTTGAGATACTTGAATGTAACTCCTTGCAAGGGTTTAGTATTATCTAAGTATGGTCATGTGGATGTGGAAGGGTATACAGATGTCGTTTAGGCAGGTTCAGTTACTGGCATGCATTCTACTTTTGAGTATTTTACCTTTGTTGGTTGTTATCTTGTTACATGGAGGAGTACAAAAACAAAGGTGGTGTGGCTAGGTCAAGTGTTGAAGCCGAGTTTCATGGCATGTCACAACAGATATGTGAATTGCTTTGGTTGAAAACATTGATGAGAGATCTTGGGTTTGAACCTAAGAAACCTAAGAGTTTGTATTGTGATATTAGGCTGCTATTGAGATTGCTTATAATCCTGTGCAACATGATTGTACGAAGCATATGAAGATTGACCGACAATTTATTAAAGAAAAATTGGATGTTTGAATAATTGTTTTTTCATTTATGACATAAGAAGATCAGTTGATAGATATTCTTATCAAAATTGTCTATACTAGTGTTTTTCTTAAGTTGCTTAACAAGTTCAGCCGTGTTCCTTATTAATTTAGGTTACTTATTTTTAGGGATTTTATTTTTAGTTTGTTTCCTTTTTTATTCATGGTGTAAATAGGATTCCTTGTCTAGCAAGACTTACTTGTAAAACATTCTTGTAACCTCCATAAATTGCCTTCATTGTGGAGAAGAGTACAATATGAAATTTTACCCCACATTGTCTAACTTGGAATCATAGCCTGGTTTGAACATTGATAAATAAAAAGAGGCAACATACTAATGTCTTCAAAACTAGAAATCCAAAAACTAAAGGTCCGTTTGATAACCATTTCATTTTTCATTTTTTTTTTCATTTTTTGTGCTAGAGTTTAGAGGAAATGAAGGTGAAAACAAAAACTTGAAAGTGAAAACAATTTCAAATAAATTTTAGATTTTATTTTTGTTTTCACTTTTGTTACTCCTCCCCATCCTCCCCTCGCATCTTCCCTCTCAATCTCATCTCCACTCTCATTCTCACTTCCATTCTCTCTTTTTTTTTTCTCTATACTCTAGAACAAAAAATGGAACTTGAAAACTAAAAATTAAAATTGAAATGGTTATCAAAAGGGCACTAAGATTTTATCTTCAATAAACACTAGGTTCTTTCAGACTAGGCTTCTACTTTATCCTATGTTGGGTTATCGCAATTAGGTCCCATGTTTAGGTTGTAGAACTTGAGTTCAGGCCCATGTCTGAGTCGCAATTCGAACCTAGGTCTCATGAAGTTTCAAAAAATATCATGATTTTTTTATTTTATTTTATGAGGGTTGTTCACATGCACTACTAAGGTGTCATAGTAGTTCTAACTTGAAACCACTAGTCAAGACCCTTCTCTACTAGGCTAAATTTTGTTGGCAAAAAAAAAAAAACCCTCACTTTGTTAAAAGAAACTAAAAATAAAAAAAGTTATCTACCAAACATGTTTTTTTCTTTTGTTAATGCAGGGTATCCTTAAGAAAACCGAAGGTAGCTCACAATAAATGTATGCCAAGATACATTAGGGCTGCAAGTTGGATTGGAAATTCCGATTACAAATGCTTCCGATCCGAAAATTTCCAATTTTGGCAAGTTCAAATCAATTTCAACATCCAAAAGTTAAAAAAAAAAAAACTATGGATTGGAATTCGAATGTATCTCAAGATTTCAAAAAATTCAACATTCTGAAATACATTGGGGTTTCAAAATTAGAATACACACAATGACTAATTTCATGTTGAACTAAATATGATTTAATGACCAGATAGACATAGACAAGTTGTACTTTAACGGCCTGTTTGGATGAGGGATTTGTGGGAGGGATTTCAAGCAAAGGCTTAGTTCCAATTATATACTATTAATTATACTTTTTTAATTTCAAATGACTCTATGTAAAATGATATGTAGTGTTTGAATGAGAAAAAAAACAACTAAAAAAAGGTATATATAAAAAAGGAACAACTAAGAAAAAGGGAAAAAAAAATCTTATGTTTACAAGAAATTACCTAATCAAATCCCACCAACAAAATAATTAGCCAAACAAAGGAATTTATTAATCCAATCATTTTGAAGTGTCTCACCTTAAAATCTCATTATCTTGAAATCCCCTCACTTCAAAATCTCATCACTTCAAAATTCCTCATCCAAACACAACCTAAAGGATAACAATATCTAAATACTAGCATATAATAGTTTTAGAACTTTCAGTATGAGTTTTCAATTATGAGTCAATTTTAACCTTTCAAATGGTTGGGCATGTTTAAAATTTTGAACTACTTTCCGAATATTTTCAAAAAATTTGGGAATTGGAATCCCCTCATTCCGATCCACTCCGTCGGAAAATCAAGCCTAATGATATGACAATGTTAGCAAAAAATAAAAATAAAAACTTGCTTGACTTACGATTACACCCTTACCATAAACTTCCACTCATTTGGATGGCAGGAAAAGGGGATTGGGAATGGGAAATCATTTATTTTCCCATGTTTGATAAGTACTTTAAAAAAAAAAAAAAAACAAATGATAGTCTAAACTAAAAGGGGGAATGAGGTTTCTCACACATTATGAAGGTGTCATAGGGGTTTGCAAGTCAAGGCCCTTTCCCATTGTACTAGACTCAGTTGACTTTAGTAAGTCCATGTTTGGGAAATGATTTCATGGCTCTTGCGAAAATATGGGGAAATGCAACCCTCCATCCATGTTGGGTTTCGTTAAGCTCATAATTTCATACGTATGTGCCTTATTTACTTACTCATTTTACTTAGTTTCTTAGAATTCTGAGTCATTTGCCTCTCTTTGTGTGTTTTTTAGGCTAATAGAGTAAAAGAGCATAATTCATGCAATTCAAGCATGTTAAGGCCTCATTTGGATGAATGGAAGAAGATCTTAAAGACAAATCCATTTTTGGCTGCACTCCCTTGTCAGTCCAGTTTCGTAGGTCACAGTGCAGACCTATTTTCAACAACCTACACAGCTTGGATGAGGCAACATCCTTCATGGAAGTGATTATAACATATCCAAAATGAAGAACCATTGGACAAAGCTGGGGTTCGTCACCCATCAAACACAGAACCATGCTCTGGATGAAGTTTGTGTACGCTGCCAAATGAGTTAGCAATTTGTTTTGGCCTTAACTTCTTCCTCTGGCCTTGGATTGGCCCAAATGATATATGGTTGGAAAGATGACATTCTGAACTTCAAGATGGAGGTCTCAAAGGCATAATTTGCTTAAGGGATCCCAATTTGTGAGCCCTTGAAGTTGCAAGTCATGCTGACCTAAGGATGAACTAAGTGTGCTTGGTCATTCTGACCTAAGCATGAGGTGTTATGTGGGGAAGTTAGGTGAAGCAGATTCATTACTTATAATTGGAGTGAAGTTTTGCGGTAGCCAAAAGAAAGAAAAGAAGATGAAGTGGGAGCTGCAGCACTAAGCCTAAAGAGAAGAAGAATTGTTTTCAAATTCAATTGTGTGTTAGGTGAAGTGGGTGTAGTTAGTGAACTCAATTGTATAATCTGAAAAACCTAACCCTAGGCCTATAAATAGTGAGGTTCCCCAAGTCTTCAAACACACCCCAAGGGGTGAAGCTCTCAAACACCTCTCTAGAGCTCCTCTCCCTTCTCCCTTTTCCCTTCTCATTCCCTTCCTTCTCCTCCTCTCCCTTATCTTCTTCTCCCTTCTCTTTCTCGAACACTTTCTCCTCCTTCTCTTCTTCTAAATTCTTCAAACACCTCTCTCTTCCCTTCCAAAAATTCTCCATATTCTCGAACACCTTTCCCTTATCTCCTCAAATTATCCAAGTTCTCAAATACCTTTCCTTTCTCTTTCTCTCAAATCCTCTAAGTTTTTCTTTAATGTTCTCAATTGTTGTACAAAACCCTTTTGCTTCTTGGTTGTAATTTATTTTTCATTGTAATGTAAATTCTTTTCTT